TAATAATGGGATGAGGTTGTGTAGAGAGGGAGAGAAAGTAGAGAAAAGAGGACCTCAGTGCATCATGGGAAGTCCCCTCGGCAGTCTAGGCCTATAGCAGCATAACTAAGGGATGGTTCAGGACTCACCTGAGCCAGCCCTAACTATAAGCTTTATCAAAGAGGAAAGTCTTAAGCCTACTCTTAAAAGTGGAGATGGTGTCTGCCTCCTGAACCCAAAATGGAAGCTGGTTCTACAGGAGAGGAGCTTGATAGCGGTACAGTATTAATATTATACCATAGGATTAAATCATATAATTAAAGTCAGTTAATAGTGATATTAGGACATGGGTCTTCTTCAGTTTAAGCCATTAGCCTATCGTTTATCTATCTCACATTATCTATGGAGCTGTGCTGTTCACATCTGGTGTTATAAAGCATTTAACAGAACAAAACCAGATAGGCCAGGTTTGAACACGATCATGTGACCCAAGAAGCTGACACTGCTGGTAAGATATGTGTTTTAGTTAAACCTATAGAGATGCCCTGTTATTTGAATATAAATATAGTGATTATCATTTAATTATAAATAAAATATGTCATGTCAGGGTTTGTAGTAGCTGTTTTAAAGGACTGATTATTGAGCAACATCATGGAGCCTCCTCCAAAGCTGCCAGTGTTGACAATACATCTTATCTAAAGTCACATTTTAAAAGGAGACATCATCAACTCGTGCAGATTGTCTTGCATTAGAAGATCTTCCAGATCTTAGCTAAGAACACAGCTAAGTTATTTCAATTCAGTCAATTTATTTATTTATTTTTATTATTTCATAGCAGGTCCATTAGCCTCCACCTCTGCCTCCATCATTGGTATCATCCAAGAAGCTGACATTGCTGGTAAGTTTAGGCCTACATCAACAATAAATAATTATTCACCTCTAGGAACACCCAATGTATGAACATGTCAACTTACTAAAATTATTTTCTGCGTTAATCTTCCTCATAGGTCTATCTGGGCCTACTGAAGTGGAGAGCAGTACCATCGTGCTTACTACCACACCTGTCTCACCAGTTTCTACTCCTCCAGTGGATCCAGCTGACTCGCCATCAGGCCTTAATGACCAGTTACACATTGATGTGGTGAGCAGTAAAACAAACACAGGTTGACAGATTTTTTGTTTCCAAAGTCTTTTCTATTATTACATGTTTAGATCACTCATAAAGAAGCTGGTTGAGAAAAATTATGCTATCAACTTGTAGTTTTTATCTCTTAAACTCTTGTTTGGCTGTTATTAAAGATTTCAGCTTTGGTCAATCATAATCAGTTTATCAGTCTTTTTATTCAGCACTAAGTTCATCAGAGTCTACTGGCTCTTGCACATCCATTAAGCTCAGTAGCACTGGTGGTATCATATGTTTCCTGTCTGACATCAAACATAGTAGATATAATATAGAGTATGGTCTTGTTATTGTTTTTCATTAGAATCAGCTTTATTACCAAGTAGGTTTAAGAAATTTGCTGTGTTGTTTTTGTGCTAAACAAACATGGCAGGTTTAAGAACATAAGAAAGATTCATCTTTTCTAAAATCAAGAGATGTTTCTGTGTCATATAGTGACAACGCCTGACAGTCAGAGGGGCCTCCAACTAAAATTTGATTAGGGTCCCCGAAGGCCTAGGGCCGGCTCTGCAACCAGTCAATGATAGCTGTAGGCAGAAATCAGATCCCAGTGAGTCTGAGATATTTGTTAGGTTTTACCTTTGGTTGATTTGTGTGTTTAATGTCTAGGCCTCTATGTCTTTATATGTTTCATAGGCTATGCAATGCTGTCAGACAATATGCAATAATTTCATGAAGAGATAAAGCCTTGAAAAAAAAGCACATTTAGTATTGTTTTATATTAATTTATAAGATAAGATTGTTCATATATCTGTGAGCTTATGTAATTGAATACCCTTTACCCTTTGTGTTGCGTTTTCTTTTCATTACTTTTTTCGGAGTAACGCTTTCAAGAGACACATTTTCATATTATACCCCTCATAAATCTCTCCGTCACAAAGACTAATTTTGCATTAGTGCCACTTTGATTATTCATTGCACTTGTGCAAATTTAAATTAAATGTGCTAAATCTGCAGTGACATTCGGATATGCTAAAGATTCTGCTCAGTGTTTTGTTGTTATACCTATGCAAGCGTGTTACAGTTTGGGTTATTACAGTGAACCTTGGATCACTGTTTTTCTAGTAGATGTTGATTTTATCGTGATCATCATGATGATTACTATCCATGTCAGCTTCAGCAATAAGTGAAAGAATCAGGTAAGCAGAAGGGGGTGTGCAGACGGATACTCACCTTTCTCTCCTTAATGAGGTAGTGACATTTGTGAAGATGCTCGGCATCAATGTGGGGGCACTGAGCTACTGTGAAAGCTTCATGTTTCCAAAATATCTGTCTGGCACAAGTGTAAGAATGACACTTTACCTGGATTATATTCTATAAGATACCTTCGTAAACCCCAGCCCTCTTTAGTTACTTTTGCTATGCCTGCCGAGCTTTCCATTTAAATTCACAGTAATTTTTGAAACGCTAGGTATTTTATTCCACAGAGAAGTTAACAAAACCAGGCTTCTCATTTCTAGCGGATGTCCATTTATTTTGTCGACTAAAAATATGACTCTCTTTAGCGGACTTACAGTGTCTAATGTAAGCTAATGCTTATTAGTCTTCAGTGTTTCTATGTGACACATTTTAAAATGAGAACCCTGTAACAGCCTTAAATATGTAAAGTTACTTAATGGCTGCAGTTAAAGCTACATGTCCCAAGCACAACATAGCATCCTAGCCAGTTGTTCATCCTCATAAAACGGGTAGGTCAAATCAAGCAATCTGATTGGTTCATAGTAGGGATATAATGAGCATAAACGGGTCTGACGTCGAATTCCTTTGCACAGATCGTATCACTCCGCGACAAAGTAACATTAGAAAGTAACGTTAGATTACTGTCTGGCTGGAAACTAATGGAGATGGAAACTCCAATGGTAAACTTTGACCTCCTGGGAGGTCTTACCATGGAGGAGTGGCTTGAGCAGACTTCGCCAGAAAAAACTAAAGAGGAGATCGACCAACTCGAAAAGAACCCGGAATGAACAGAACACTGAGAAGCAAACCAAGTGGGCAGTGAGATGCTTTGAAGAGTGGAGTGAGGATAAAGGTGTAGCAATAGACTTTCCAATGTGGTATCCAATATTTGTGCATTTGACTCATAACAGTTCAACAGTTCAGTCCCTACATGGTGGTTATGTAGGGACTGAACCCTCCTATAGAATTTGACCTCTAACCCCTTGTTTTGTTACCTCAGAATAGCACTGTACCCTTCTATGGGTTTGACCTTTTATTTTGCAGACTCAAACCCCTCTATGGTACCTAACAGATACCTTAACATATCCTATATAAGCTATGTTTGATGAACAGAGAGACAGAGTGGCCATCGGGCTGGGTCACTCTCCAGGCTACTGCAGAGCTTGTAATTGATGCTGAACTCTTTGATTTAATAAACTTTTATGATCAAGAACAGTGTCAAGCGGGTTTCCTCTCAACACATCATCACAGCATTATTGTTCGGACACCACAGCAACCACATCAAAGGACCGTTTCAATTACATTTTACGAGATTTCTATGCCACTGTCAGAAACGGTAAAGGCGAACTATATGCCCTGAGTAGCTACAGCGGTCTCCGTGCTGGCATCAACCGTTACATCAACGACCCACTACTCAGTCTGTGCCTCCTCAGATATACAGAGTTTACAACGAGCAACAACTGGTGTTGTGAAAACACTGAGAAGACAAAGGCTCGACACTACAGTCCATCACACATCAATATCAGAAGATGACTTAAAAGCCATCAAGAAAGTACTGTATCCCGAGAACGCGGAGCGGCTAGTAAACAAAGTATGGTTTGATGTTCAGCTACGCTTCAGGCGCAGGGGAAATGAGGACAATCGGCAGCTAAAACCCACATCGTTCAAACGGACTAAAATATGCCACACTAACATTTAACAAGCACACGAAGAATCATAATGACCCACAGGCGTTGGGCCGAACAACGCCCCTTAACTCTAATATAATAAGCGTATACCACAGCCTGTCATGAGCTATGGCTTAAATATAAAGGACTTGTGTAACATTACAAGGGAGCACCATTGTCAGTGTATATCAGTGTAGAGCTAAACTGGGTCCTCTTGTACTGTTGACAGCTCAGAAAACGCACCTAGTAATAGAAAGTGAGGAGATAAATGGGGAGAATGGGCAAATGAGCCTCACATTTTAACACTGAGGAAAAAAAGAATGTTAACATTAAAGGAATGTGATATGCAAATTGAAAAATCTAAATACTTTGTTTAGTTGTTTGGTGCTTTGCCATTACCAATTCTCCAACTCCTCTTGTTAGTGGTGGTTGATTTGTGATGCAAATGGTAAGCCTATATTAACGCTGAAAAACTTTTTGAACACTTAAAAACTCACTATGTCATTGCTGAATGACAGCGCAAAATCATTTCTGTTAGGAGTGTGGTTTTGTGTTTATGTCTTTCCTGTTTAAGTCCGTTTTTGGTTCTGTGTTTCTGTGTAGTCTTGTTTAATTAGTTCTTAGTCCTGTGCTTTAGTTCATGTTTAGTGTTTTCCTGATCTGTGGACATCTGTGTTTTATCATTATGGTCTGTATCCTAGTCCTTAGTCTTATATTTCCATGTTTTAGTGTAGTCTTGTCTCCTGTTTGGTCCCGTCTCTGTCCGTGCCCTGATTTTGTGGTCTTTCCATGTTTTGTGTTTTACTTTGGTAGATCTGTCCTTGTGTGTTCCTGTGAACTTTACTTCCTTTTTGATTTTGGTAATCCTCTGTACCTGGCGTCCTTGTCTAGCTTTGTCCCTGTGGTTGATTACCTGATGTGTTTCAGCTGTGCTTCCCTCCTTGCTCGTTTACCAGTGTATATATTGTCCTCAGTTGTCTTCAGTCCTTGTCATGTCCTTGTGTCTGGTGTTGAGTGTTCTGCTTTGCTTCATGCCTAGATCCTTGTTCAGGGTTTTGGATTACCTGTCTTTTGGATTTACTTTGGATTGGACTTTGCCTTGAGCTCTATGGAAGCCTGTGCAGTTAAGTTTTGTTTAAATAAATATTTTCTGTTGAACTGAATCCTCCTGTTAGTGTCTACGTTTGGGTCCACACCACACCTCAGTCCTCAGCCTGCACTCAGTGCCCCCATGACAATTTCAATTAAAGGAAAAAACAGGAGATTACAGGTGCATGTCAGAAAATTATTGTGAAAAAAGTTTTTTTTTCCTATAATGTAAGTCAAAAAGTGAAACTTTCATATATTGTAGATTCATTCCGTATAAAGTTAAATATTTCAGTGGAAATAAGAAAATCATATCTCACAATATTAAAATATTACAATAAAGAATATATAAAACAAATGTTGACAGTCTGAAAAGTCTTGAAAAGGTCAGAAAAAGGTTCATTTATGCACTCAGTACTTGGTCGGGGCTTCTTTTGCACCAATAACATCAATGCGCTGTGGCATGGAGGCAATCACCCCGGAGTACTGCTAAGGTGTTATGGAAGCCCAGATTGCTTTGATAGCAGCCTTCAGCTTGTCTGTGTTGTTGGGTCTGGTGTCTCTCATTTTCCTCTTGACAATACCCAATAGATTCTCTACAGGTTTCAGGCCAGGCAAGTTGGCTGGCCAATCAAGAACAGTAATACCATGGTCAGCAAACCAGTTATTAGTTGTTTTGGCTGCATTGATTCTAGACAGGAGAAAACAGTGGACCAACACAAGCAGATGACATGGCACGCCAAATCATCACTGACTATGGAAACTTCAAACTGAACTTCAAGTAACTTGGATTCTGTGCCTCTCCACTCGTCCTCCAGACTCTGGGACCTTGATTTCCAAATGAAATGCAAAATTTTCTTTCATCTGAAAAGAGGACTTCGGACCACTCAGCAACAGTCCACTTCATTTTCTCCTTAGCCCAGGTAAGACGCTTTTGACGTTATCTCTGGTTCAGGAGTTGCTTGACACGATCAATGCGACACTCATACTTATTGCTCGTTTCCTGGACACGTCTGTGCCTGGTCGCTCATGATGTACTCCCCCAAGTTCTTGAATTGACTTTGCTTGACAATCCTCTCAAGGCTGTGGTCAGCCCTGTTGCTTGTGCACCTTTTTCTACCACACTTTAACCTTCCAGTCAACTTTTCATGAATATGCTTTGATCCAGCCAGGCCTTTCAGCAATGACCTTCTGTGGCTTACCCTCCTTGTGAAGGGTGTCGATGAGTGTCTTCTGGACAACTGTCAAGTCAGTTCTCCCCATGACTGTGATTTTGTGATTCTTCTCAGGTCGACATTTCTGTATTATACATTCTTTTTGTAATATTCTAATATTGTGAGATATGGAGTTTTGATTTGCATGAGCTTTAAGCCGTAATCATCAAGCTTAAAACAAAAAAATGCCTGAAATATTTCACTTTATGTGTAATGAATATAGAATATCTGAAAGTTTCCATTTTCAAATGAAACTAAGGGGGGGGGATGAACTTTGTCACGATATTGTAATTTACTGCCATGCACCTGTAATCGGGGGAACTGTTTAGAACCTTAGCAACCAACACACTATATAGACACAACACTAATATAGCACCACAGAGACGTTCCTGAGTAGGGTGTGATAACAACATAAGACACATCAGATTGAATTGAAAAAAGGACTACAAATAAAAAATGGAACAACATTACAGGACATTTGGAAAACCCCAGAGCTTATATTTTGTATTAGATTCAGACAAAGTCCTTACAGGCTATATAAAATGTCTCCGACTCAGATTACGTCACATTTCTCAAAACCACATAAAGATGATTATTATTATAGCTCATTATAAAATGCAAATTAATAAACACTTTTTTCCTCTATTTTTGGCAAATAATGCGGTCTATGTGGTTCCCGTGTGCGCAATGAAGGAGAGCAAGGAGGGCAGTTTTCGGGGGATGATCGATTTTCAGCATGACACCTGTCGCTACCTCCAGAGCATGTTCTGATTCAGAAGACGAGAAGCTGTTCACAGACGGGTCAATGAAAGAGAGGAGCGAGTAATGGACACCTTGCTAACCTACATTGACAACAAAGAAAGTCGTGTGCGCTGATGTTCCACATGCCTATAGGCATAGTTGTAGGGAACACTCTCAGAATGTTGCGGTTTGTTGGAAAACAGCGCACATTCGTCCGACTTTCTACAACTCCATCCAACCCGATTAGACATGTCAAACTCTAAAGACTCCATCAAACTGACACTGACTGACGGCGCACACTGATCCAACAGTCGGTGCTGGTTGGAGTCGGTCTGCATTTGTCAGGGCATGTGTGCAAGCAGCTTTAGATGTATTATATAGATAGATGTTGAAATTACCTTATGTTGATTTACAATTTCTGGTCATGCTAGACACTGTTCTGAGAATTACATTCATAGACAACTACTCAGCCTTATTATGTTAAGTGGCAATGTTCATTGTCAGTGTATGTGTCTTTCATACTCGATGAAAAGTAAGGGCATGTCAGTGCAGTGAGGTCAGGTCAACGAATGGATTTTATAAAATATTTCACACTTCACCTCAGTATCAATTTTCTACAAAAGTTTGCATTATCATTGAGTTATGCAATTGCTAATAAAACCAATACAGAATTGAAAGTGAGTAACAGTCTTCATTCAACCCATAAAGGGACTTTGCTATTGCAATTTTGATGTGAATATATGCATACTCCTAATACACTGTGTGTATTAAATGGCAAAAAGTCAAGAGGATTATTTCAGTATTAATGTGTGCCTGTGAGCAGGCAGCAGGGAGTTGTGAAGGACAGGACAGTCTTCGGGGCTTACTTGTCCATTCATTTGTAATTTTAAATGTTTAATCCTTAATGACCAGCACATTATATTCTTTTTATTATCTATGAAGCTATTATCTCCTTGGATAAGTCTTGATTAAAGAAACATACTTACAACATCAAAGCACCCTGAGCTTTAGAATACACTTATTCAGCAATTGTTGACAGCCTAACACAGCACTTCAGGCAGAAACTCATACACAAGAGAGTAGGACAACCTCTTTCAAGGTTTGAGAGATAATTATAGATTATTATACAGTAAGTCAGGTTGGGAGTTGGGTGGGATCCAGCCTGTGCCAGGTGGTTAATGCTGGGGTCACGATGGGGTCATGTTGACTGAGGGCCAAGGTAATACAAGCAGGTTGACTTTTAAATACTACACTCTTTGAATATTCAGGACATACTGTAGTGTAACTGATTGCTAAGGGCTTAGAATGAATTTTAGCTGTGGTGCATCAGAATGACTGATGTCTTGTAACAGTTGTTCTGCAGTGTTAGAATGCTAATTTAATTAATTACAGCAACACACATCATGTACATGTTCTGTATGGAGATACAGCTTAGAGATATAGCTCTATAAAAATAGCTTGTTCTACCAGTGACGTTTGTTATTTATGGCATCCACTCTTGTATTGCATTAGGTAAAGTACAGTACTTATTTAAAAAGAAAAAAAGACTAGAGGAATTACACAAAATCTCAAATTCTTACAATAATCTAGCATCACCTATTCCCAGAAACAAGGATACTATATTATAGATCTGCCCATTAGGTCCAGACTTGCATTCAGAAAATACTGTCTTATAGCCTGCGTTTTGATCCTGCATCAGCATCAGTATATGCAATATTTTTCATTTCATTTCACCATGTGGTTTCTTTTTGTACATTAGGGAGATTATGTGCCGTGGTTAAGCTTAAATGAGGTTAACCTATAAAAATGTCCTCAAATTGGATGTGATATTGCTTGATGCTAAAAACATTTCCATATTATTAAAATATGGTACTAGTAATCACAGAAGACAGTTCAGTGTGCTTGACTCCACCTGCTGGTGGATCACAGGCTTCCTGGTTGACAGCAGAGCAGCATGTGAAGTTGGGTAAACATGTTTCTGGTCATCAGCACCAGTTCCCCACAAGGCTGCGTTCTTTTACCTCTGCTCTTCACCCTGTACACCAACAGCTGCACCTCCAGTCACCAGTCCGTCAAGCTCCTGAAGTTTGTGGATGACACCGCCCTCATTGGGCTTTTATCTGGTGGGTATGAGTCCACCTACAAGTGGGAGATTGATCATGGTGAACATCATCTCCTTCACAAAGACAGCACAGCAGAGGATGTACTTCTTGTGGCAGCTGAAGAAGTTCAGCCTGCCAAAGTCAGTGGTGGTGCACTTCCACACCATCATCGAGTCCATCCTCACCTCCTCAGTCACCATTTGGTACACTCCTGCCACTGCCGGGGACAAATGCAGGCTACAGCATATCATTTGCTCTGCAGAGAAGGTGATTGGCTGCAGTCTTGCATCCCTCCAGGATTCCGAGGCGAGCAGGAAAGACTGTGGCTAATGCCTCCCATTTCAGACACTCACGACACATAATCTATTTTATTCTTTTATAACTTAACTTGTGCATCTTGTTTATTCCATATTTTTATGTTTATATTTATACATGTCTGGCACCTAAAGCAAATTCCTTGTATGTGTAAAAACTACTTGGCAATAAAGCTATTTCCTATTGTTCATGTGGTTCTCCTTTGTTCCAACTCAATAAAAACATATTCTGTGCCAAAATCAAGATGTCATAGGCCTTAAAACTGTGTTTTGCATAACTAGAAACCTCCAACTTAAAAAGGTATGTGATGACCACACATGACTATGATGAAAACAAGCAAACCATAAGCTTAAATACTTCATCTTACAAACCTTCCCTGATAGAGCGGGCAAGAGACTGACAATGCACATTATACACTAGCTTGTGAAAGCTGTGTGGAAATGTTCTTAGTCCTTTCCATGCAGCAACATTTTCACCTTATTTAAAAAAGTAATACATCCACTTGCCTGTCAGAGAGACAAAGTAAAAGCAGGCATCAAAAGAGGATAGAAAAGAAGAACAGGCTTATCAGAGACAAAAGTTCCTCATGACAAGTCTACATTTTACTGTATAGTCAGGATGTCAACCTTTTCCTGTCTTTTTTTCCTCAAATAAATTAAACACTAGTCTTGTCTAAGACACACACACACACACACACAGAAAGGAAGGTCATTCATCACTCCAAGTTTTTTTGTCACACCTATCGTAGTCAACTGGTAAGAATCAGGTGTGCCAGTTCAAACATCTGCTTTTTGTTTTGCATTAAATTTTTTTATATTTATAAACTATTGAAAACAAAGTATCTGCAATATATTTTGATAGTTTCTAGCATATAGATCATCAATGTGTTGTATGTTCACCTCTTACTTAAAAACCTAGAAGGAGCGAAAACAACACAGGAAAAACATACTGTAATCCACAAGAAGTAGACACACTGTGTCAAACCATAGACTGTATAAAAGAAGTGGACATAGTAACTGTGACGTCACCAGTTGTTGATTTTTGTCAACCAAGCTCCGGACATGACCATATTTGGATGAGACAGGGGCATGAGCAAGCTCATTAAGAAAATATTTACTGAGGTAACAAATCCAGTGATACGGAGGCCCTAAGCGGCCATCTATTCAAATATTTATTTCATTCTGTTTTCCTGTGATAACGGGTTAATTATCTCGTGATCTCGAGATAATAAATGTTGTTTTCCTGTGATAACGGGATAATTTTCTTGTGATCTCGTGATAACAAACCATAGATGCATACAGCGGTCTGCTGGTGTGTTTCTTTAGGATAATTCTTTACAGTACTTTACAGTGTGACTAGTTAGCTCAGTTGGTAGAGCACAGGACTCACAATTCAAGGATTGTGTGTTAACTCTTGCTCTCAACAACTTTTTTTTCTTCTTTTGTGTGTTTTTTATTATCCTCTTCCACAAAGTTATTATGAAGAGATTCAGGGGAATCCAATCACACATTTCCCGACAGCTATTTCAAAGGTTCCGAAATAGCCGTCAGGAAATGTGTAATGTTAAATGGATTCCCCTGAATGAGAAGAACAAGAATTTCCTCTGCCTGGGATTAATGGGAAAATGAAAAGTCCTTAGGTTGATGGATGTGGACCAAAATGTGGGATGCACACAGTCCAGCAAAAGTCTCTTTATAAGAACTTTGTTGAAGAGGAGTCTTCCATGAGGATGAAAACCACAACTCCAAGAGTATATATCCTATGCTCTACCAACTAAGCTAACCAGTTACACTAATTCACATAGTGAAATTGCCATTACACCACTGTGTCAAATCTGTGTTATCTCAAGATCACGAGAAAATTATTTCGAGTGAGAAGTAGGTTAATTTTACCATTATTTCTAATGCAATTGGACTTCATTTTGCAACCAGAGGAGTCGTCCCTGCTGGCCTTTAGAAAGAATGCCAGTTTGAGTTACAGGCTTGAGCCGGAGTTTGCCGCTTGTGTCAAACCCATGAAAATTATAGATTTGTGAATGTTTGTGACAGATTACCGTAAAGGAGTTGCACAAATAATTTAATTGCTCCAAAGACCCACATATCAATTACAAACATATAAATGTATACTTGCTACACTGAATATTATAATTTTAACAATGTACATTATATTATTTTCTCATATTACTGCATAACACCACACTTGCTGTCTATATCAATAGTAACATCATGTGTAAATGTTATTTTTCTGCTTTATTGCTACCTAAAGACTACAATATGACTCTAGTAATTGATAAATAGACAATGCATTTATGGTGATATTTGACTACAGTGTAGGGTTAACTGCAATATATGTCCTGGGAAACTCGGTAAATTATGTCAGTCAAGGCAAGATTATGACTCGATTATGACTTCAGTCAGTTTTACCACCATCCCATCATGTGAATTCCAGCAGGTAAAGGCAGAGCAGACATTACTGTAAGATGTTCTGCCTGTGACAATAAAGTCAGTTAAGACATTTGGTTCCTTGGCTTAAAAAACAGTGTGTATCATTTCTCTTGGAATACAGTAACTTTCATTAATCAGTAGCTATTTTTTTTAAGTAAACGTGACATGATGTCTGCTAATCAAGTGCAAATATTTTTGATTCAGATGTTTGTATTATGTGTATCATACTACATGTTTAAAAACAAGCTTGATGGGTCTGCTGTCTTTTTTGGACATAATTTTCTTTTTCAGTGTTTTGAAATGTGACAAGGTGGATATGCACAAGAGGTTTTTAATTAATTATTATTCCTTATGCAGTGTCATTTGAAGATTGTTTTAACCTAAATGCATTGGCAATATAAATAAAGCTACAGTTAATGAACAAATTCAGAGACACTTGTATTCAATTAGAAATACATTAGCTGATCAAAGTAATAAAATACTGTGTGATTTAACACTCATGAATGGAGTCAAGCCCAACAATGGCTTGCTGTTATTGACCTTTCTGGGCACAGTGGGAGACTATAGTCAATCAGGCCAGTATATCACATTCTCCCAAATGTGGGGATAGTGTCATTAAGCTGGTATCAGACAAAAAAAGAGTCAAATTGCACACAAGAACAGACTTTAAAAAAGAGCATCATTGGCGCAACAGGCTGTATTAGCACCAAAGCACCATCTCTAAAAGCATTTTAGATTACAATTACCTCCTGTAAACATAACAATCTGTAATATCAACCTAAATGAATTTAGGGTAAATTAAGCAGGATCTCATGG